GTGTCCCCATCTCCCCGTGCCCCAGGATCCCCCTCTCTCCCGCCATGTCTCCATCTCCCCTCGCCCCCCCTGGCTGCTCCTACCTGGCCAGGCACTTCTCCTCGGCTGCGCAGCGCAGCGAGTACAGGTGAGCTCGCTGCACGTAGGTGGATGCTTGCACATAGTTGGGGTCCGGCACCAAGTCGGGGAGACCTGCCAGGAGGATGGAGACAGCCCTGAGGGTGGGGACAGGGCTTGGGGATGTGGCTTGGGGACACGGAAGTCCCCTCCTTGAAGCAGCCAGCCCCGACCTCGTAGGGAAGGTTTGCTTTGGTGACCGCCACGTTTTTTTAATTTTAAGCTGCAGACGGAAAATTCTCCCTTCCCCTCCCCTTCCTCCCCTCCCCGGCTCCTGCTGGCAAATCCCAATCCTCCATTTTCCTACAGCGGGATTGCTCAACCCATCCTCCTGGAAGCGATTGCCCCCAGCCCTGGCCAGCCGCCTGCCCAGCCACTCTGCGAGGGGTTATTGGGGTCCCCTGAAGCCCCCCGGCTCCCAGCCCCGCAGCAGCCAGCAAAATGGGGTGACACAACCCCCCAAAAATGAGGTCCCTCTTTCCTGTTTTTCACGCCAAAACAGGGGTGAAAGTGGGGCTCTGCTAACCCCAGGCCCCCCCACACCATTATCCTTCCTCTCCTTTAATTCCCCGACATTGCCCTGCACTGGGGGTTCAAGCCAAAGCTGTGGACAGACAGACAGCTGCAGGGACGGGTGGGGGCTGCCTCACTTTCCAAAAGCATTACAGAGCCCAGCTGGAGTCAGCACTTACCCCCCAGCAACGCCCTTTCACACCTTCCATTCCCAAAGTCTCCTCTGGGACCACCGACCCGGAAAGCACATCCTCACATCTGCCCCTCAAGAAGGGCCGGGATGGGGGTGGGATGCTCCCCAGGTACTCCCTGCCTCAGTTTCCCTTCTCATAGCCCTCTGCAAAGCCAAGCCCTGCTCCACAACAACCTCTGCTAAGCATCTCTTCTTGTGAGCTCACCAGCCTGTCCCCATCCCCATCCTCATCTTCATCCCCGTCCTCATCCCTGTCCCTGTCCCCATCCCCATCCTGATCCCCATTCCCATCTCCATTCTCATCCTCACCCCAATCTCCATCCTCATCCTCATCCCCATCGCTGTCCCCATTCCCATCCCCAGCCCTGTCCCCAGCCCCATCCTTGTCTTCATCCCATTCTTCATCCTCGACCCCATCCTCATCCTTGTCCCTGTCACCATCCTCGTCCTCATCCCCATTGCTGTCCCCATCCCCATCCTTGTCCCCAGCCCTGTCCCCAGCCCCATCCTTGTCCTCATCCCTGTCCCCAGCCCCATCCTTGTCCTCATCCCATTCTTCATCCTCATCCCCATCTTCATCCCCATCTTCATCCTCACACCCATCCTCGTCCTCGTTCCCATCCCCATCATCACCCCTCCATCCTCGTCCTCATCCCCATTGCTGTCCCCATCCCCATCCTTGTCCCCAGCCCTGTCCCCAGCCCCATCCTTGTCCTCATCCCTGTCCCCAGCCCCATCCTTGTCCTCATCCCATTCTTCATCCTCATCCCCATCTTCATCCCCATCTTCATCCTCACACCCATCCTCGTCCTCGTTCCCATCCCCATCATCACCCCTCATCCTCATCCTCATCCCCGTCCCCATCCCCATCCTATCTGCAACTGGTGCATGTGAATCCATGCATGAAGAGTCTAGTCACTCTTTGTTGATCTGAGGCCGAATCATGTTCTAGCTGCAGCTGGCTTAAGAGACATACAGAAGCAGCATATATATGAATTCCCTGCCTCTCTCATGTCTTGCACTGGACATGCCATAGATTTGGCATTGTACATTTTTAGTCCTTACAATTGTTTAGAAAACAGAGGCAAAGTTGTTGCTCCCCCCCCCCCCCCCCCATTTTTTTTTCCCTATTTTCCCTTTTTTCTGCGGGCAAAAAGAACAATGCCTTCTTGTTTCTTGGCCTGCCTTCCCTCGAGGGATCACGTCACTCCATTGGAGCTCGTTTCCTGCCCTGCTTGCTTGGTCATCGCTGCTGATGTAATACCCAAGGGGGCCGCGCACGCCAGGGGGGGAAATCAGGAGAGCTTGGAAAGACTTCCCCCCGCCCCCCTAAAAAAAAATTAATAATGAAAAAAGCGATGGAGAAAGACCCCCGGGCCCCATCCTGCTTGTGAGAGGAACCTTTGTCATCATTTATTAACCAGCTTTTCCCCCCCCGCTGTTGTTTATAATAAATTCTTGGACGCTCCAGAGAGAAACCCGACTCCTTTACCAACGGGGAGTTTTATTTTCCCCCCGCGATGGAGCCCGCCCTGGATGGCCCCGTTGTTATTGTAGGGTCTCACGCCTGAATTTTGGCTCAGGCCCGGCAGTGAAGGGTCAAACTGCAAGCGCCGGTATCACTGGGGTTAATGGGATGGCAGGATCCAGCCTCACCACCCTCCAGAGGTCCCCTTATCACAGCAAGGCACAGAACTGTCCCCATCCCGGACTGGCCAAATCCTGATCCCTTTTTGCTGAGCCAGCACTTTCCTGCCTCCTGCAAGTCAGGGGGCCTGGCAGCCCCCCGCTATCGCCTCCGAAAAGGGACAACCACAGCAAGAAAATGTTTGTTTTTCCTCCTCCGCCCCTCGGCCTGTCCCGGGGAACTGCCAGAGAAGATTTCCTTCTTATTCACCGTGAAAATTAGAATAATAAAAAAAGGCAGGCCTGCTCCCCGCCACGCTGTTTGTGCAGGTGTGGCAGGCTTAGACGAAAAATCCCGGCTCCAGCAGTTTTCTGAGAGGATGGCTGCTTTGCCTCCCTGTGCCCAGAGGTGCTGGGTCCCAGCCCTGGAGATGCAGGGACCACCAAAAGGGGTGGCTGTGAGCAGCAGGGCCGAGGGATGTGGGGACACCCCTGAGCGACTGAGACACATCCTTTCATCCCCCCATCCCAACCCATCCTATCCCATCCCATCCCACCTCTTCCCATCCCAACCTATCCCACCCCGACCCAACCCATCCCATCCCATCTCCAGCACCTCCTGACACACCCCTTCACACCCATCCCAGCCCCACTGAATCTTCTCGGGATTCCCGTTTGGTTCTTAATGCCTGAAGATAACAAAAAAATCAACCCAAACCCATCCCCAAGCCCACAAATGGGAGACTTTCCCAGTAAAATTGTCATCTCCTGGCCCAGTTGCCCCATCCAGGGGTGACAACATCCTCAGGTGTCACCACAACCACCACAACTCAAGCTTAGTGGGTAGCAAAATCCCCATCACCCCATGGGATTTCCAAACCCCATTCCCATTTAAAAACCAACCCCGGGCGACCCATTTGCATGAGGGCAAGGAGAAAAAGCTCTGCTGGAGATGGAGGAAAGCAGAAGGGAGGGGTGAGGCTAGGGTTCAGGGTGAGGAAGTCCCTGGAGATGCCTCCTGGGGGTCAGTCGAGAGTGGGGAGCCCTGGTGGGAACCGGCACCTTGGCTGAACCCCACAAAGGAGGGGTGGGCTATCTGCCCCCATGGCTTAGATACCACGCAGGCTTGGCTTTCACCAGCCAAGACCTCCTTTGCACGAGATGATTCAGCCCCTGGGCAAGCCTTGGGTGACACTTGGGTCCTCTGCAGCAGCCATGAGCAGGAAACATGAAGACTTTTGGTGTCTCCTCTCCATCTCCTTGCCAAAGCCTGGTCTACTGACTTTATCTCCCTCTCTTGACCAAGCCACGTGAGATGCTCCTCTTCCACCTCCACCACAGCCTGCCTGCCGATAGATTTAGAGCTGGAAACCATTTCAACTCTGATCTTCTAAGGTGTCTTGACTGGCCGGTTCAGACGGAGGGAGGAGGACAATCCACGATGCTCATGCAAGCCGCTATAAACCCCCTCATAAAAGCCGGTAGGATCTAATTGCTTAATTAACCCCCCAGGTGCCCCATCGAGGGGCCAGGAATGCTGCACATTCCTGAACCGATTAGAAGGCTCTTAAAGAGCTTAGGCGCATAATTAACATCTGATTCAGCTTTATAAAATGTTTTGACCAATTAAGAAACCTGCCTGCAGGTGACAGGCTTTGGGTTGTGGGTTGGGTTTTTTTGTGACCCCCAGGGAGGTGACAGCTTTCCCCAAACAAGGCTCGGCTGGAGAGAGCAGTAGGTGACCTGGACGAGAGGTTGGGCAGTGGGTTGGCCCCAGAGAGCCACCTACTCTGATCTTCTAAGGTGTCTTGACTGGCCGGTTCAGACGGAGGGAGGAGGACAATCCACGATGCTCATGCAAGCCGCTATAAACCCCCTCATAAAAGCCGGTAGGATCTAATTGCTTAATTAACCCCCCAGGTGCCCCATCGAGGGGCCAGGAATGCTGCACATTCCTGAACCGATTAGAAGGCTCTTAAAGAGCTTAGGCGCATAATTAACATCTGATTCAGCTTTATAAAGTGTTTTGACCAATTAAGAAACCTGCCTGCAGGTGACAGGCTTTGGGTTGTGGGTTGGGTTTTTTTGTGACCCCCAGGGAGGTGACAGCTTTCCCCAAACAAGGCTCGGCTGGAGAGAGCAGTAGGTGACCTGGACGAGAGGTTGGGCAGTGGGTTGGCCCCAGAGAGCCACCTCCCTGGGCTGGTGGGGTGATCTTTATCCTTTTCTTTATATTTATTAAGGAAAAATGTGAAGGAGGAGGCTGGGGGCTCCTGCACCGAGAGGTGGGTGTCCCACTGATAGGTTTGTTGGCCGATGAGGGTTGTCCACCCACCCATGGGCACCCTGATCCCCCTGGCAAAGCCATGGCACTGTCACCTCCCGGCCCAGCTTCCAGGGTTCCTTGAAGAACACAGCCTTTGCCAAGAGGCAGAAGATAAGTCTGGCAGGCAACTTCTCATTTTCCTGTCACCTCAGGTCATCTGCAGGGCAGGCATCCCCAGACGTCCCTCTCCAGAGACAAGGACCCCCCGCATCCCTCGCCCCCGCATCCCTCGCCCAGAGGGAGCAGCTGCTCCCATTGAGGTGGGCAGAGGTCCGGAGGAAGATCCTCTCCGCACAAACCCTGTCCCCAAGCTCTTTCCCACACATCCTCAGCGGGGCTGGCCGGACCTTGGGCTGACCCAGCCCGGCTGCTCTCGCTGTGTTTACTCACTCGCACGCAATGGGGCAGGGCTGGGATGAATGCTTCCCTCAGTACGAACCCTCTGGGATGGGATTTTCTCAGAATCCAGGGATGGGGCTGGATGGGTTATGGGGTCAGATGGGTCAGAGGCTCCAGCTGAGATGGCTTTCCCAAGGGACAGGCAAGGGAACAGATCCCCCAGGCTGCTGCTCCTCACGCCCTCCAGCCTTGCTTCCAATTTTACCACGGAGCAAAAATGCTCTTGGCAAGCCTCAGCCAAAAGCCACAGCATTTCATCAGGATCGGGGTCAGTAGGATGTGAAATGACGGCGTCGCATCCCTGCTGCGACCTTGGTCCCCTGCTGCAGCCGCGATGCAACCGGCTTGGGGGGGGAGGGGGTGACGGGGGCGATCAGCCCTGAGTGAGGCAGCACAGATCCACCCCATGAACCGAGTCTGCCCTGGCACAAGGCATGTGGCCAGAATGACCCAGGACATGGCACTGTCCTACCCCAGGAGCACAGCATGACCCCAACCCACAGCACACAGCCACCCCACAGATGCAGGATGACCCAGGATATGGCACACAGCCACCCCACGCACGCAGGACGGCCTGGGAGGTGGCACACAGCCACCCCACAAATGCGGGATGACCTAGGACATGGCACATAACCCCCCCTTGAGCCCAGTGTCCCCCCATCCCACAGCACAAACCCACCCCATGAGCATGGGATAACCTGGGACACAGCACAAACCCACCCCACGAGCACGGGAGGACCTGGGATACAGCACAGGCCCACCCCAAGCCCAGCCCATAGTGGGACTCGCCCCTACGCGCCCCTTCCCTTTCCTCCCCTGAGGTTTTTCACCACCTCAAACATCATTCCCCAAACACCTAGGGTCTCCAACAGCTCCAGCCCCTCAGTGGCCCCTTGGCCACATTTGTCCCTATAGCACCAGGGCAGCACCCTGGGAGAGCACCTGGCACCAGACGTAGGTGCAGAGGGCTCTGCCCTGGGGGATGCCTTCTCCCCAGGTGATGAAGCACCCAGGGCACCATCCCACCCCAGGGAGCTGCCACCGATCCCAGGGTCCCCCCAAGACTCACCCCGTCCGCCATGGCTGGGCCTGTAGACGCTGCCCACGCTGACTCGAGCTTGGTTATCGGGGACGGCTTGCGGCATTTCGGGGCTCCTGGCAGGCAGGTAGGACTCGGGGCGAGGAACCCCATAAGGCTCTGGC